CTGCATGGCGACACTCAAGGGACAAGTGAGCACAGCTCCTCCCGGATGTGGACGAGGAGCAGGGACGCATGCGCCCAGCTCTAGGGACGCAGCTGAGGCAGGCAGCACCTCGAGCACTCAGCACTGTCGAAGGGTCCTGAGGGCTCAGCTCCCTCCTGAAGCAGCATGATGGGCACCGACTTCCTCTGGGTGAAGGGCGGCAGCAGCAGTAGCAGCAGCCGCAGCAGCAGCAGTTCTGCCCATGTGCTGGTTCCCAAGAAAAGAAGGCTCTCCCTGCCTTTCTTTCCAAAACTTACCTGGTGACCTGCAAAGTCCCCCTCCGTTGCCAGATGGGGCCATCAGAAGGCTTTGCCTGGGAGAATCCTGCAAGAACCAGGCTGTGCTTAGGGAGCAGCCCTGCAGCAGAAAGGGCCACGGGTGAGGTGCCACCTGGCACCAGCAGCGTGAGCACAGCAGAGCTGGGAGCCTCTGCCCTCCCGGGCTCTCTGGCCCACACAGCGGGTTTCCTCCCAGCGCCGCCAGCGAGGACATGCCAGCACTCCTGTTGTCTCCCTATCACTTTCTCCTTCCCAAGTGGCACCGCAGGACCCTCCGTCTCTCCCTGCCTCCCTCCCGCACCAGCTCACCCCACTCACCGCACATCCCCAGCACCCCAATGCAGCCAGAGGCGGTCGAAAGACAGCCATTCTCACCTTTTCCTGGCCCTCAATGAGCCTCTCCAGGCTCCTGGCGCTCAATGTCCTCCACTGGGCAAGAGAGAAGGAGTGGAAGAGGGTGAGCAGCGATGCCTCTGCTGCTCGCCTGGAGGAGCAGTGCTCACGGACAGAGCCCAGAGCAGAGAGACACTCACGGCATGGCGGCGGCTCAGCTCCTTCTCCAGGACTTTGATGGAGGGGAGACGGGTGACGCGGGCTCTCTTTGCTCCTTCTGGTGTCCTGTGCAGCGGGAAGGGTCAGGGAGAGAGCTGGGTGAGCCCCAAGCTGCCTCTTCTCTCTTGTCAGGCAGCTCTGCCCCACAGCTGCCCGCAGCCACAGGGGCACCTCTCCCCAGCTGGGGAGCTGTGTTGCCCCGTCCGGCTGCACCTGGAGCATCCCGCCGGCTTACCCCAGCAGTGTGCCCAGCCACAGCTCCTTCAGCACCCGGGAGCTGCCGAAAGAGAGGAGACACGGCGGCCCCGCCGCCCCCCCAGCCTGTGGGCAGAGGCCGGCGCCTGCACAGCCCTGCTGCATGGGGAAGGACGCAGGGTCAGGACGAAGCCCCATGGGGCAGGACAGAGGCGCTGCTCAAGCCCTGGCTCCCTCTGTCCTGCCAGAGCAGCTGCTTTTTCCCTTCCTGACTGGGGACCACAAGGTGACCAGGGGATGCGGGTCATGGAAATGGCCCCCCATCCCTCCCTGCCTGCGTGCTGCCTGCTCCCTGCCCAGGCTCTGCACAGAGGGCAGAGGCCTTTAACACGGTGGCGTGGGCACAGTTGGGAACCTCTCCTGCCCCGCCATGGGACATGGCACCACGACTCACCTGAAAGTGGCAAGGCAGGAGCCATTGGGCCAGATGAGGATGATGGACGTCCTGTCCTCATGGCTGCCTTTCTCCTCCTCGTCTTCTTCCTCCCCCACTGCCTCCTTCCCGCC